CTGTGTTGCTCCCCGTCCATTGAGAACTGCTTACGGAGACCCGGTAAAGTGCCCGTCTACCACAACTTGCACCCTTCCCAACCACCCCCCCTGAAATGGTCAGGGCCCTTTCTCGGAAGAATCAAATTTAAATTTCAAAAAAGCAAAGGCTACTTGCTAGATAGGCACGATGTGTGAGGTTTGAACCCACCAGTTACCCGAGTAGAGAGTATCATATCATACCTCTCTCTATGCCCCGAACTTTGCATCCATTCTCTCTCTTTCTCTGCTCCCCCCTGCTCCATCTTCTTCATTGCCCTCTTGCTCTCCCTCCTTATTCCCGTGCCTCCCCTTTCGCCCACCAGAATTGGGGCGTTACCATAAACCATCACAACAACTGCGCTCAATTCCCCTCGATAGCGGTAAAAGCGCCAGAATTGTGAAAGGCCCAATCAATCATCGTATTATTTTTCATTATTTTCGATTATACCAAATCTACTAGCCTCTCCGCAATTTCCTTCATAGGTGGGGCGTTCCCGACTGGCCAACCGAAAGATCCACCTCGAGTTGAGGCGAGAGCAGATCTTCCCTGGAAACGGCGACTGGAGCTCTTTAGCAGGGCCGCCCGACGTTTCTGAAACTCCCAAGCTTCCCTCTCCTGCCCCCATGACCTTTCCCTCCTTCCCGCTTTCTTCTCCCTACCACTTGCTTCCTGCTACCCTTGCCGCATCTCGTGGAATTATTTCTCTTGTCTGCCCCTTCCCAGACAAACTCTTTTCTTTTCTATTGTTGTGGAAGAGAAAAAGGCACGGGAGATAGAAACCTAATCGCCCCGGAGGCAGGACAATTCCCAGAGGATCCGGACTACATACCGTGCTTCTCGACCGTGCACACGCACACACACCGTCATCCGTCCTTTACCTTATCCGCTCCTTTCCTGTCGTTTCGAAACATACCTTGTCTTTTACTTATACGCTCTCTCCAGCATTCACACTAATCCAATCAACCGCCGTTACTCCTCACCTCCTTCCCCTTCAACTCAAGAATATACTACCCAGCAAATCGCCTACTTCTCAGCCAGTCCACGTTTATAATCTTACAATCCCACAATGTCGCTCGTACAGCCCCCTGTTCCAGGTATGTTATCTTCTCCCAAATCCTGCTTCCTTTTGCCGCACCATTATTGTCCTTCTCCTACTTGCCCTTAATTTTTGCTTGATCCTGGAAATGCTAACATATGCGTCGCTTTCATAACAGATCGACGGCCAGCCCCTTCTATTGAGCTTGGAACAAATAACCCCTTCCGTCGCAGACTCTCAAATACTCCCTCTTCTCCCGCTTCAGCCACCAACGAGCGATTCTCTTTCGTGTCTACCGGTGGCAGGCCACAATCCCGCAACCCTTTTCTTGACGTTTTTGAAGACGATTTCTTCGCTGCCGAACGCCCCTCCGCTGCCCACAAGGCCAACTCTTTCGACTCCTCTTCTGCATTGCGGCCACAATTCTCGGGTGCTGCTGCAGAGCTCTTTGTATGTCACGCCTTGACCTGTACCCCACAAGGCGGGTTCGATGTTAATAAATGTGCTCGCTTAGGAAAATCTGACCATTACTGACCATTCCGGAGATACCAACACGAGCAATATGTACGGTCGATCCGACGGCAGAGATTATATGCCACCGCCGCCCTACCGGCCACAACAGAAGCACAGGCAGTTATCAAATGGACATCACCATTCAAGATCGTCAGATGAGAAAGGAGCCCAATTAATTCCCATTGACTCGACACCTAGGAATCCACCTCCGAGGCAGCGCCCCCCTCCTAATGGTCGTTTCGTTGATAGGCCCCGGGATATGGATCGTGAGCTCAGAAGACGGCCCAGAAGGAATTCGGACTCGTCAGTAATCGATGTGCATGAGGCTGAGCAGAAAGACCGAGAGAGACGTGAACGTCGCCATCGCGAACAACGCTCTCGTGATCAAGGATCTGGGTCCGGATCAGGCCGTAAAGAGAGGGATGATCGTGTCCGACGAGAGAAGGATCGCAAGAAGAATGGGGCACCCCTGGATGTTATCGATAAGCTAGATGTCACCGGCATCTATGGCTCTGGGTGTAAGCATCTCCCGATTCTTGCTCTACTTATAACCGTTATCTCACCATATATTCTAGTGTTTCATCACGACGGTCCATTTGATGCCTGTAATCCGCATCGTAACGCGAAGAACTCCAGAAGGCTCGCACCTGTTCACGCATTCCCTGCTGATTCCGCCAACAATGCCCTTTCCGGGTTTGGCCCGGTAAGTGCCAAGGCTGATCACTCCCATGTCTTCGGAAATAGAGATCCGGAGGCTTTTAATGATTTCACGGCTTCTGGAAGACGTCCTTCCGCTCCCAGTGAACTGGGATCTACCAAAGCTATCGGCGCCTTTGATCCAAAGAAAAATGTAGATATTATCCATGGAGATGAAACACCAGGCCTAGGCACATCTACTTTTCTAGATGGCACGCCGGCATCAAGAGCAGCTGTACAGAAGTCAGAATCGACAGACGACCGACCTAAGTCACCGAATGGGATGAACAATGGTGGTGGCTTGCAACGAAAGAAATCGTTGGCTCAAAAGATTAGATCTATTAGTCAAAACAGGACTACGGATGGCCCCGTTCAATCGCATCGCCGTCCTCCTCCTCCTCCTCCTAATAGGTCTCCCACTGATGGGGCGTATTCCCCTACGACTCCGGCGGGGAATTCTTCTCATAACAACAATCCATTCTTTAGTGATTACGATGGTGCTTATGATAGAAAGGGCGAAACCATCTCTGTGTCGGAGAGGAGGGCACCCGGGTCTCCCAGAAAGCCTTCTCTTGGGAGAAGTCAGACTGGAGATGGAAAACCGGGCGAGAATGGCGGTCTCATGAAACGTGTGAGAAGTCTGTCGAAACCAAAGAGGCGCAATGAGTGATTCCCGCTTCAATTAATTATACTAGAAAGTCGGTGTAGGCTTGGGACCATGGTCGATGTGGGGTGTGATGGATCATGTGTATGATGATTCTCGGTGGCATTTCGAGGGGCATGGCATTAGCTGTTGGATTGTCCTTTTTTTCTCCTTTCCATTGTTTTTAATGTCTATCATTGCATTCGCTCGTTTACCCCTCCTCTTCAAACTTACACCATTATTCTCTTTTTCCACACCGTTTCTACTCCCTCTAGCGCACTTTTTCTCCTCTTTCTTGTTTCTCTTTTGTAGCATCCGTATTCGCATCCTAAAATACCATTGTTTGCGTTCATGCTGTAAGGGTTGGTATAATATCCCCATGGAGAGCAAAGGCTGAGAAAATTTTAGGTTGCGGAGTTACAATCGCCTTTTTGTTCGTTCTACTTTAAATCCTTCTAAATTTATCATATCATCCGTGGGGCTGTGCTTTTTTCCTTCCTTATAGTTATCAGGTGGCGACGACTGAAGCGGGTTGATATCATATGAAGATCTGGCGGAGATATTTTCGATGGGCAGATAGGGCGTTTCTAATCTACTATGGTATCATATATCGATCCGTGAAAATGTTTGACCTGTGCTAGGGGTTAAGAATGAACCTGGTTTGTGTAGCTCGTGGTGTTTTGATGTTCACTTGATGAAGAAGGTACGACATATATACCGGTACTCCTGGTGGGGATGAGAGCACGTTGATGAGACGAAGCAGCAATCCAGATCTCTCTGAAAGTTGTTGGTTCGTGGATGAGCCCGTGGGATGACTTCTATATTATACAGTAAGTTACCCATCGGATTATGGGGTTTAGCTGTTCAGGCCTAGAAAATATTCGCACCCAATCGCTCGCATGTCTCTTTTTTTCGGTTCAATACTAGGAGTTGTTTTGCACTCGAAAAACGCAGTGGATCCTAATTACCATCATCACCCATTACCCAGTGCCCAAACCCAGTGTTCTCCTCTCCAGAGTCCTCCAACTACTCGAGTATTATTATAGTCAAGTAAGATTCAAAGGGGGAAACTATAGTGTCGTAGTCTAATCAAATCCCAGAGTGATACCCCGCGATTTGAGCCTCGCCTAGGAGTATCAATCAACGTGCCAGTTCAATAAAGAGACATCAAAAAAAAAGTGCAACTTTTTTTATTCATCTAGACTCTCAAGGTTTGCTCAACAATCGTACCGGTATCATACTCATGATAATTCTTCCTATCGCTATAAACCTTTTTATCAACCGGCCAATGCTCACCCTGCCCCCTTGGGGCGGGCTGGCAAATCCGGACGACTACCAGTACCGGTATTCCCGGTATTGTATCATATTACTGGGTCAAATTGGGTCAGCCCTGAGTCTTGGCTCGGCTAGGTTGATCGAAGTAGTAGGGTTCATTTTTTTTTCATTTTTTTTTTCATTTTTTCCTTTCGGGAAAGGAAGCCTACGGTGAAGAAGCCTCCAACTTGGGGAAGAGAAAGAGAGGGATAACGGAGTTTACGGATTGTTCTACGATAGCTACTTTTTCACTTCCTGAATAGCTCGGCCCGAGCTACAGCTCCTATCCTTTACTTGCCTATCGCTGGCTCGCTCACTCCTTTGCTGACTTCTCGAACCAAAACAATACCGACCATCCGAGGAAAGGAGTGCACTTGCCGTACTATACCTTACCCCCCAAACAACCACCACTAGGACATTCCTACTCTCTCCGAAATCAAAACAAAACAATGACAACGCCGAATGTAAATCGTCGCGCCCTGACTTCTCGGGATGGTAATGTCTACACTACACCCCGACTCGGAGGCGCAGGAAGGAAGTCCGGAGCGGACGCGGCGACACCAGAGAGTCTACGCAAGCGCAGCTCTGTGCGAAAGAAGCGGCTGTTCAGCGAATTGGTCGAGGACGGGGATTACTACGATGACCAGACGAGGGGCACACCGAGGCGGTATGTCAGTGCTAATGTAGGGGGGAGTGGTAGAAGGGGAGGAGGAGGGGGAGGAGTGGTTGTGGTTGGGGAGGATGAGGAGGAGGAAGATGAGTATGCCTGGTTCGACGAGGAGCAGGAGTGGGAGGGGGGATTGTTGGGTGGTGGGGGGGTGAAGCTTGAAGAGGTAAGCCTTTTTTCTCTTTCTCCCATCCACCATTGCGTAGATTGACTTGTTGGCTGGCCGACTGGCTGAATAATTGCAGGACACGCATTTCCTTCCACCATACCCATACCCATCAACCCCCTACCGTTTTTCAACTTCTACAATTCTCTCCACACCTCTAACGCACGACCCCTACCGTCATCACCTCCGTCATGACCACAACAGACCAACCCCCTCCTCCCCGGCAACAACCCTAAAACTCCGCCTCCGCGTTGCCCTCTTCAAAGTCCAGACGAACCAAACGTCAATCCCACTCTCGCACCTACAGGTCCCGCAGTCCTCCCCACAGCCGTTGTCAGTATTCCCACCGAGCTTGGTCCGTATCAGTCCTATTGTGGATAGTTATGGGGACGACGGGATTGAGGACGAAGGTTTTGGCGGTGGCTCTGGTGGGGGTGGAGCGGGGGTTAGCTTGCCGAGTTCACCACCGTTGTTTGGAAGAAGAGGGGAGGGAAGTCCCACGGCGATTAGGTTGGGGTAGGAGGGGAGGGGGCTTTGGAGAGATGTTATAGGAGGGAGGGAATTTGGGAGCATGGCGTTGCATTTTCTTGTGTAATTGACGGTTTGGCTGAGATTCGGAGCTTTTTCTTTTTTCTTGACTATGTCGGTTTGATCTTTTTCATTTTTCTCATTTGGGATGATTGGGTTTCTAATAGACGTCAAAGGGGTGGAAAGTATTATAATACTTGTAGTCTTTCAGGTCTTGTTGGGGTGAGGTTGTGCAATTTCTGGTGATGAGTGGCGATCTTTCATTATTCTCGTCTCTCTTAGGATTCACTTTTATATATGTATATATTGATATTCTCTTCCATATTTCCTTTCTTCCTAAACCTCCCTTCTACTCTGGGATCTTGGCAGGAGCTTCTGCTCTTATTCCCATTCTTTCCTACATTCTTTGTTTTTCACGCATGCTTTTTTTTTATTATATATCGGGGGTTGGCGATTAGTTTGATGACCATAACTTGCTGCGTTTCCGGAGCAGCATGTGTTTGGCCTTCGCTAAGTGGTGTGTGTACTCGGAACAAACATGCAGCGAAAATAGAGAGGGGTGGGGGAGATCGTCACATTATAAACACCGTGGTAGCGTACTCTTGTTCAAGCTACTCCCTAAGCCCAGGACAAATTTTCCAATTATACCTCAGATGCTACGCCAGACTACTGGCTACAGCACGTATGATAACCAGCCGGAACAATCCACCTGTTCCCCCATCGCATCCACACCCACACCCGGATACTGGTAATCTCACAACTACTCGAGCACAGGTACTCCTACCCATTGTTGATTAAATTTTTAAAACAAAATAGTAAACTCACGGGAGAGGGGGGAAGAGAACATCCAGTTCCGGTTCAGGTCGATTGTATACTTCTGCACGGGTGGCAAGTAGCCCGGGAGCACCGCAACCCTTTCGCATTGCGGTAGTCCCAGACGGTGCATTGTGAGTGGGCAAGTCAGGTATTGTAATCTTCCAGCGTTAAAGCCAGGAGCACCGTGCCATACCGTACCCGTAGCGGAATGTAGTCTGACACCTTGAGTTTCCCCCATGGCACGATAGATTGAAGCGCGCCTACCGCCTGAAAGGGGGGAAGCGTTTCCCACCATTTCGCTACCAATAACCCGTGCCGGTGATGGGAGAAATGATCCACTGGTTCACCGATCGTGTTTTTTCGCCGCGTTTGGCGGCGGGTGACTTGCACAGATCGGCTCCGCTGATGTGATGCTCGGGTATGGTACGGTAACAGAAGCGGCGGTGTTGGACTCACGCGTTGGAAATCGGTGGGGGATTTTGGACATTGTGGATTGGGAGTATCGAGTGATGGTACGTGACCGGTATGACTTTGGAAATGTGATAACTGGATAAGTTACCGGAGTGTTAGGTTGGGCGATTGGGTTGTGGTAATATGGCGTCATACTCGTGCCCCTCCCCCAACCGAGGGTTTGCATTCCATATTTGTCCCTTGCTCATGGAGGATATGATAGAGTGGTGGTTCCGGTACTTTATTGTGACCAGCCAGTGCATAAACGATCTGGAATGTATCATATTCCCCTCTTTCTTGGAGCTATGCGGGTGCTTTGGCTCCGGGTGTTTGGGGGGTTTTTGGGGTCTTGTTCATTTTGCTCTGATCAATGAACCGTATTTTTCGAATGGAATAGGGTTAGACTGGAAAGGGACTCGGTGAAGACCTATTATGACAGGACAATTGGGGATGCCAATATTGGCGGGGGGCCACGGGTGCAGCGGGTACCGTACAGTATTATAACGGGGTCCCTGCAGCTGGGCCGTGGGGGTTTTTTTTTTTGGGAACCTATTTTTTTTTTGTGGGACCCTGGAGTGGGGTGTTTCTCTTTTGTTTTTTTGAAGGATTTGGCTTTATATACGGTAACTAGATCCGGGCATAATTATTAGGGGACTTGGATTTGAATACGTAGATGTCCTTCTCTCGAAGGGTTATTAATTATTACCGTAGTCTACCTGAAACATCATATCTAGCTATCTAGTGTCTGTGCCCGTCACCCGAACATGTCCTAGCCCGGAGATAACCTTCTGGACCCGGGTAAGATCTGCAGTCACTCAATTACTTGGATCTCATCTGAAAGCCTCCTACTGTTTGTGTATCCTCCCTTGAACTGGCTCACCGGAAGGGAAAACAGATCCATGGTACTGGAGTATCGGTACCGGGAGAGCAGCGGCAGATTGTGGTGCCCGAACGATGGATGTTTGGGGGGGGTTAAATAGTGTTGTACGGTACTTAAGGGGAGCCGGGTGAGCGGTAGCAGTGGTTGTGTGGGGTTCCTTTGTATCGTAAGGAAGTTGAAAAGGGGAGGGGATGAGCCGGGTACGGAGTTGCTTGTGGGAATGGGTTTGTGTAAGTGAGTTACTGTGCGAGTAGAAAGGGTAAACTTGGTGAGAAATGGCAGTATCATAGCTGGTTGAGTGGGAGAATGATGGTGATGGTGGTGGCGGTTGTGGTGGAAAGGGGAAGGAGAGATGGTGACTAACGGGAAGGGGTGGTTGGGCCTAGCCTCACAGGTTCAGGCCCTGTAAGGGGAGAGAGTGGGGGACGTTCCCAGTACAGTAAATTATGATATTCGCACGCCGTTTTCCATGTGGGGGAGAAGGTAGACTACGAGTGGGATCTTGCTGGGTTGATAGCTAAGGCACCAAGTTGGTCTTGGCAACAAGACGAGACAAGTCGCGGGTTGAAGAGATGCAATTATCAGTTCCTGCGTATCGTCGATTTATATGATAGTACCGGCACTGTACTGTACTCGAGTAAGTCTGTAGTAGGTAGAATATACCGGTACCTAGTATCTATGTTGCGATGCACCAAAAAATTGTAGAGCCTCCTCTGTAACTTTGCTCGTGATTATGTTATGCGATATCATAGGTTTGGCTCACAAGTACTCTAGTGCTGCAAGAGAGATTTAGAGCTGTTATAAATAGAAGAGGTCTTTGCTGCACCTGCTATGGCACCCTACCGCGCTGTATGATCCTACCCCCCCCCCCCACAAGGGGATACTTGTACAGCGGTTTAGCTGGCCTCCAATACTTGAGTATAGACTACAGAAACAGGGATTCATACAGTAGCTTTCTCCCCTTCACTTAGCTCTTGCTACAGCTAATCGGGCTACCAGATCCTCCCCCATTCTTTGACCACAAAGCACCCATCCCCGGACCAAAATAGAACCCCCCACCAGCCATTTGAGGACCGGGTTTTGGCCCACCTCCTCCCAAACAACTTTACCCTGTTCTGCCAAGATATACCCATTCCATTTCACCTGGCGTTTCGTCGACGTTGCTGATAACCTTCTTCCTTTCTCCCTCTCGCCCTCACTTGTTGGCTGCTCAGGACACGGTGCGGTGATTCGGTATGTCGTCGCCCCAGAACCGTCTCAAAAAGATTGCGGGTCACTTCTCCCCGGATCGGCCCGTGAATAGAGCTGAGCTGTCGCCGACTTATTTCTTGCCTAGAGCTGCGGCGATCGAGCCGAATGTGAGTTGGTGATTGAAAGGTTGGAGCTTCGATCGAGTGGGTGAGGCTGAGGTGAGAGTTGGTGTTTGTTTCTAGGTCGAGGCGATTGTCCACCTTACTGCCAACGGCAAGACCGTTGGAAGGACGTACCAGCAGTTTGCGGACCGTGCCAGGGGATTGGGATACTATCTGCGTGCGAAGGGGTATAAGCGTGGTATGTGTGCTTTCTCTCTGCGCTACCTTGAACGACATAGTTGAGAGCGTGACTAAGGGTACTTTATTTAGTCGGGATTTTGTCCCCAAATACACCAGCGTTCCTCGAGAGTATCTTTGGAATTGGGGGTGCCGGTGCGGTACAAGTTGCGATCAACTATCGCCTCAAGAGGGATGATATCCACTACATTTTCGACCATGCGGAGGTCGACTCCATAATTGTTGATCGGGAGTACGTCCATTTACTCAATGGGTTCAAACCTGAAATCCCTAAGATCGTCGATGAGGACAGCGGTAATGACTTGGAAGGGGATTTTAACAAGGCTGTTCTTGAGGGGCTGGAAATTGACCGTCGGAGTGGGGGCCGTGGGTGGGAGGGGCTTGCTATGGAGGCTGGGAGCGAGGATGATATGATTGCTTTGGCGTATACCTCTGGAACTACTGCCCGACCAAAGGGTGTAGAGTATACCCATCGTGGGGCGTACCTTGGCGCCCTGGGGAATGTTGTTGAGTCGGGACTTAATGGCGGATCTGTGATGCCTACGGGGAGGGCTAAGTTTGTCCCTCACACCCCGCCTTCCCTCGGCTGAGATATTAATGATGGAGGCAGATACCTGACCATCCTCCCGCTTTTCCATGCGTGCGGGTGGACCTTCCCATGGGCCGTTGTTAGTGCCCGAGCGACACATTACTGCCTTCGTGAGTTGCGTCCACACAGGCCATTTCCTAAACAAGGCTCATAATTGCAGGTAAAATCGACTACCACGACATGTGGCGTCTCCTGAAAGATGAAGGGATCACGCATTTCAATGCAGCTCCTACTGTTAATACCCTTCTGTGCGCATCCCCGAAGGCAGTTCGCTTGCCGCATGAAGTGCGGGTTACTGTTGCTGCTTCCCCGCCAACGGCTAAGCTATTTGAGGATATGATAAATCTTAACTTGGTACCCGTACATGTTTACGGTTTGGTAAGACTGTTTTCGCATACTGGAAATGTCCTGTAAACATGCTAATTGCGTTTCGGGTACCAGACTGAGACGTAAGTGATATAAGACCACTAGGCTGAAATGCTGTACCAGGTACATACTAATGGCAACCTACAGTTACGGCCCAATCACAAAAGGCTATTTCCTCCCAGAATGGCACAGCCTTCCCGCAGCAGATATGTACAAGATGATGGCTCGCCAAGGTAACCAGATTCCTTCCCTCCCCTCTTCATAGCTGACTATCCTAGGCCATGGCTTCATAACCAGCAAAATGATCCGCGTGATAAAAACCACCAACGACATCTCCAAAACCGGCGTTCAAGACGTAGCCAGGAACGGCCAAGAAATCGGTGAAGTTGCCTTCACCGGGAACATCTGCTGCCGGGGGTACTACAAGGACCCGGAAGCCACGGCAAAACTATTCGAAGGCGGCGTCCTCCACTCAGGCGACCTGGCTGTCTGGCACCCTGACGGAGCCATCCAGATCCTCGACAGGAGCAAGGACATAATCATCTCCGGTGGCGAGAACATTAGCAGCCTGAGCCTCGAGAGCATGCTCGTGCACCATCCCGATATCCTTGAGTGCGGGGTTGTTGCTGTGCCCGACGCACAGTACGGTGAGAGGCCCATGGCCTTCGTCACGAGTAGGAATCCGGAGCTGAAGGGCACTGACGTAATTACCTGGGCGAAGAAGGATAGCCAGATCTCGGGATTTATGGTTTGTCCTTGTCTTCCGGCTTACTGGGGTGTGCGTTAATGCTATGATAGGTACCCAGAGAAGTTGAGATCGTCAAGGAATTGCCAAAGACCGAGACGGGCAAGGTTAAAAAGAACGTGCTCAGAGAGTGGAGTAAGGGGAATAGATCTGCGCATTGAGGCACCATGCCCACCCTGTTGGTAGTTTTTGTTTGGTGTGGTGGTGCTGCGGTACTTGCTGTGTATTTGTTTTGAGCGTCCATTGTTCATTTTGCATAATTGTTTTTATAAAATACCAGATTGATAGTTGAGCTGTAGACTTTCTTTTTTTTTTTAGTATTTTTTATAATTATTATTGTTATTATCCCTTGGAGCGTGAAGTCCCCAAGTACTCGTGAGAGTGAACTGTTCCTCCGAGGGGTGCCCCACCTAAACGCCGAGTGAGAACTAGTGACCGTCCCAAACACTCCTCGATCTGATACCAGTACCTGGCCATCCATCCTTGGTAATTAAGGGTAGCGAGATCCCCCCAAAGTATCTGAGTAGCACCCCGGGACCGATCGCAAGTTTTTTTTAGCCGTGCACAAATCTGGGAAAAACGGTGCAAAGTTATCTTTCTTTCCTCAAATAACCAATGTTTTGTATTTAAGAAAATATATGTTCCATTACACCAACTCAATAGAAAAAAACAAAGCAATAATATTATAATAATATTATTATATAATTATACCCTAGGTGTTAGGAGTACCAGGATCTGATACCTAGGAACTACCCTAAGTAGGGTAGTGTTAGGAATACCAGAACCTGATACCTAGGAACCACCCTAAGTAGGGTAACCCCACTCGGAATCGGAATCTCTGGTCTCCAACACCCCCCTCAGGCTCCCTTACGGGGCCCGCGCGTCATCATATATATTAATCTCAGTTGCGTCCTGTGACTATATTACCACAGAATTGAGGGTATTAGAATAACACCATATATGTCGTTGCCGTCTGTCTGACTGGATCCTGTTCGCAGAGTATATGAGAGGGGACCTTTGGCTAGGCCTGGGAAGTGGAACGGAGTAATTCCATCAACTACACAGAAAGTTACTTGGCTTCAAAGACATGACACCTTTGGCATGGGCCGTAAATAACGGGACGATTTTGTACAAAGAGATGGTATCAAATGGTAAAGGATCTCTACTAGAGACCAATACATTTACATCCACCAGAAGAGTCTAGAACTCCAAAAGGCACTACCAAAGAAGCCAATGAACTTTACAGAGTGTTGCAACTGGGTTTCGGAACACGTTGTAGCCATGGGGTGATTCTCAATACTGCAATGGTTACTGAAACCTACTACCTAGAGAGCAACCAAGAGTTGCCGACTGAGGGATTAATTACCAATCTGGTGGAATAGCTTCCTGCGAGTTAATAGGAAGTCATCCCAAGAAAATCTATCGGTTGGGTATGGAGTTACAAAAGATCAGAGTCAGAAAACCTACAATAGTTGTAATGACGACCACCTTTGCAGATATAGCCATGGATAAAACTGATCACTTTATCAATGGTGAAGACAATTGGAGCCAACTCAGTTCGACTTAAGAACTAGGTCATAAGTCTAAAGACTCTGCTAATCGGGATATTACTATCGGGGACAGCACGCTTCCTAAGAAGAAATATTGTAATTACCGAAGAGGGTGTGATGGTTTTCAGGGTCCACAGGTGTTCGCACCTCGGATGAAAACTCGACGTTGCGAATTACGATTGAAGAAGTACATAGTTGTATGATAAATAAATGTAGTCCATGAACACTCAGACGCAGAATATAAATATCGAAGTGCCTTCTAAGCTTTAGACATCATCGAGCAACGGAGAAGAGACCTTAACAATATAATATTGTTTTTACGATTCTACCCTACTTTACCTATTCTACTTCGCTCCTAGTAGTCATAAACGAAACGAGCAAAGTCTGAGCCTTCCTAAACAATCTCTGTCTACAGAAACAAATCTTGATTGGCCTGGACAACTTTGAAGTCTATCAAGTTGTCTCCGCCTAACATGTAGCCCTGCTTGGAATCAGAATTTCCTGTTTTCAATACCTCCCTCCAGCCCCCTTATAGGGCCTGCATGTTATTATATCTATCTATCTTAGGTATGTCCTGTAACTATAATGCCGCAGATTTGAAGGTGTAAGAATAACACTGTATACGTTGCAACTGTCTGTCTGACTGGATCCTGTTTGCAGATTACATGAGAGAAGACCTTCAGCTAGGTCTGGGAAGTAGAACAGAGTGAAGCTGTCAACTACCTAGGAAGTTAATAGGCTTCAAAGATGGGATATCTTTGGTATGAGCGTTAAGTAATGGCATGTTTTTGTTAGGAAGAAATGATCTGTACAGATTCAGAATTGTCTAAGCTGAGTGAGATTTGTGTGGTAGATGGAGATTTGTCTAGGAAGGCTTAAAGGGTTACTCATTTCATTTATGACTACTAAGAGTAAGGTAAAGTAGAATAGGATTGTAAAAACAATATTATATTGTTAAGATCTCTTCTCCATTGCCTGATAATGTCTAAAAGCTTAGAAGACACTTCAATATTTGTATTCCACCTCTGAGTGTTCATGGACTACATACAAATTATGTACTTATCTAACTATTACTCGCAATGTCAGGTATTCACTAAAAGTGCGAACACTAAGGGATACTGAAAACTATCATATCCTTTTTGGTAATTTACGATTTTACCAGTTGGGGAACTGGGCTGTTTTCAATAGTAATTATCTAATCTTCACAGTTCTTAGACTTATGGTCAAGATTTTAAGTTGAACATTATTGGCACTAACTGTCTTTCCTATTGATGAAATAATCAGTTTCATCCACAAGTCGTGTCTGCAGGAGTAGTCGTAGATACAATCCTCCTAGGTCACCAACTTTAAACCTCCATAACTCCTGATTTAACTGACAAATATCCACAGGATGACTTCCCTCTAATTCGCAGGAAGCCACTCTACCAGATTGGCAGATAATTCCTTGGTTGGTAACTTCTGGTTGTAGTAGGTTATAATGAGACTCCATGGAGTACTATTGTGGTTAGCCAAACCTATGCCCATACTGGTGTCAAGAGACTACCATAGTGGGAATGGTGGTAGACCAGAGTCTACTGAGTAGAGGTACTATTGGTTAGGTACCTTAGTTGGACATGTTATGATATACTAAGAAGTACTTGGGTGTAGGGGTATCTTGGGCATGGCAGAATGAGACCCGATCCCTGGAATTCTTGCCCCTATTCCATAGGTGCCATGGTACTGTAGTATGGGGAGTAAATAGCAACAACATACTTCAAACACTTCATAATCATCATGATGTGAAGCAAAAAAGAGTACACGAGCAGCACCCAGAGAGTGTCCGGTACTGTAAAATGACTCAGGATGAATACATCAAGGTAATAACCTTGCGAGACGCTGAGTGGAGTTGGACTAAGATTAGAAACCCTTTGAATATTGATAGGTGAATGTGTCAGAAGGTAAATATTAATGTGGATATGAATGGCCATGGTATAGCTAACAAGTAGTAAGATCTACCAATGGACAAGGGAAATAGGCACTCCTTTAAACTGACACCGGACCAGATGCCCACTCATATTTGATGATGCTGAGAAGTAGTGGCATCAAGCCTTTGTTACACATGATGCAAGAACATGCTAGATGAGCTGGAATGTTATCTGCATTGAGATGAATTATGCTTACAGTCCTGATACAATTAAGAGAGTAATGCATTCTCTGGAATACCACTAGTGAGTTTCTCAGCAAAAATTTGTGATACAGCCATATACCTGTCCCATCAGAGTTGCCTAGTAGTAGGAGCGATTAAATTGGACATGGGATGATTGGCTTCCAGTTTTGTGGACCAATGAATCAATATTTTCAATGGCTGGCTTTAGCAACTGATCTTGGATTACACCAAGGTATCAGAAGAGTACCATCCTGATTGTATTAATAATACCTATGAGTCTGGGCTACAATCAAAAATGGTATGGAGTACCTTTTGTGGTACAGTAAAGTCAGATCTGGTCTTTATTCTAGGTAAAACCAAGATTGATTCTGTGGTTTATGTGGAAATGGTCATGGAATCCTATTTGGTCCCATTATGACATCAAGCTTGCAAGGAATATAGGTGGGTTGGTATAGTAGAGGATGGTACTCCTGCTCATAAAGAGGTAGCAAGACAATACAGGCAACTGAATGAGATAGAACAGATCAAATGGTCAGCACAGTCTCCAGATCTGAACCTCATAGAAGCACTATGGTTAGATATGGCGTCGGAACTGGGGGAGACCTGGGGTAGGATTGGAGATAATCCAGCCTTGGAAAGGGCTTTGAATATAGTTTGGCAGGGGATTCCTAGTAAACAGCTTATGTGGTTAATAGATAGTATACCTTAGTGGTTGCACACTGTGATTGATGCTGATAGAGGTGCTACTGTATATTAGCTGATCACCGATAGTCGAGCCTTTGAATAATGTATTACTAGTTTAATCTTCATGAATGGTAAAGAAATGTGACCATGGTCATGAGATATCACTCGATCCTCTTGGCCTCATACTATACTAGAACCAGAAATGCGCCTAATTTTTGCTAGTCTGTGATTTTAGTTACCACCAATCACTCAATTTTCCTAATCTGTTTTAGTTCTTATATAATGTCCCTCCCTTATCTGGAAGTGCCCCTGACTTATACCTACACCCGAGTATATAGGTACTAGTAAGGAGCAGTGGTTACCCTACTGGGTAGGGTAAGCCAAGTAGTCAATTTGGGAGTTATTCTGAATTATTTAATGGTGGATCTGGGTAGAGTTATCCTACCTTCAGACCAGAATTACCCTGCCTTAGGCTATGGGTTACCATGTTATAGAGTCAAGTTACTCTACCTTGAAAGTAACTTATTATGCAGGGCTTCAGAAGAAGGTACAAGATTGGTTGTCACACGAAACTATGTAGGATGATTGAATCTCATATTGTATGGATTACTCCTTCTCAACTAGTTGAGCTCCAAACAAGCTGTAACTTGGAAGTGTGGTGGCTAATACCCTCCTCCGGCTCCATTATCAGCTTCTAGAATCATGGGCTATAGCTTGGAGAGTTGCTGTAAGTTTAGTAAAAGTCCATAAGTGGAAATGCTCCTGTAATACCACATAGGCTCACGCTGTCTGGTCGACTGGAAGCTGTCCGCAGGTTACATGACAGGGTAGAGGTGAACCTGGAGAATGGTCTCCAGGTGCTTTCATGTAAAACAGACTAGAACTGACAGAGTAATACCACTTTAACGTTAGAAGTAGTATGTGAGGTTACTGGAGGCCTATAGGCATAGTAACTAAAATCTGTTACCCTGAAA